CCAGGCCTCACCACACTTCCAGGGCAGGTGGGGGTCCCACGGACAGTGTGCTGCTGCAGGCGAGGGCGTCTGGGGGAAGCACACAGTCCACGGGCGACCATCGCAGCGTGCGCCGGGCAACGCACGTGGTCGCGGCGGCCACTTGACATGGCTGGCCAGCACGCCGCACCGGAGCCCGCGTGGCCGCTTGTGGGCGTCTGGCCCTCCCCAGTCTCCAGCGCGTTTGCCTCCGCCGCCCTTGCCCTTAGAGGTCGGTGCTGAAGGCCCTGCAACTGACACTGCTGCCCTTGCCGCCCTGGCCTGTCCTGGAATCGTGCATGCAGCCCAGCTCAGCCCACCTGGATGCCCTCGTGCTGGGCCCAGGCGGTGATATCGTGGCCAGCACGGGCCACGTTGTGTAGGAGCCGCGCGCGCGCCCAGCCGGCACGACACATGCGCAGACATGCTGTCGTTTCAATGCTTTTGGCTTGGGCCAGCCCCCGGGGCCTCTAAGACGGCCCACGATGCCCCCCAGGAGGGCTCCAGCGTGGCCCCCTGGGACCATCTTGGGGCATGTTGGAAGTCTTTGCCCCCTCACCACGCTTGCGAGGTCTCTGGAGAAGTCACGCCGTGATCTTCGAGAGCGCCCGTGAATTCTGGAAATCCGGGGGCTGGGACCTTTGAATGCAGCTTCTATGCTCAATGTTGAAGATTCTCAAGAGTCTTGGGACACTTCATTCAGTGCCTCTGACGCGGTGGCGGATATTGTAGAGTGTCTCCCCAGGTGCGTCCGGAAAGACCACCCCAAGGTGTCCGGGGGCGTTTTGACGTTTTCCCTCACCGTCTTGAGACCCTCGAAGCCTGCATGAGGGCGGACCCTCGAAGCCTGTGTGGAGGTGTGAGTCCTCCCGCGGGGGCGCGAAGATGACTGCGCTCTGCGCTCTGCGCTTCGCGTCACGCCGTCTGGGCCGAAGGGGTGGGCGGAGGACAGGCAGCACGTGAGGCGGACAGCTCGTTCCCCTGGGCCAGCCGCAACTGAGGGAGCTGTGGTCCTTGAACCTCCCTTGGGGGCGGACCACCAGGAGGCCTTGCCATCCCTGGGGGGCCTACGACCTGCCAAAGTGTCGCCACTTTCGAGGGCTGCTGGGGGGTGCAGCGAAGTGACGTCTGACGCGGATCACCAGGAGACCTCGCCATCCTTGTGGGGCTGCGATCTGCGGAATCGTCACCATTTTCTTGGGCTGCTGCGGGGTGCAGCGGCGCAACGTCTCACGCGGACCACCAGGAGACCTCGCCACCCCTGGGGTCCAGCGGAGTGACGCCTTTTTCTGTTACCTGGGGGTTGTTTCGAGTTCTATGGTCGCAAGAAGCAGAGAAGCTGGCGAGCGAGCTAGGCCTCGCTTGCTGCTTGCACTAACTATAAGAAGGTTTAATCATTGCTTCGAGCGCCGCGGCGACATGGCGCAGGCAGCGCTGTATCTTTAGCGTACTACCGACATACGCAGCTCTCTTCGGTCTCTTCCCGTTACTTTTGTCGTCGTCCTCTGCTTTCTGCCACCTTCCCTTTGTTGCTGCCGCGCTGAGGGTTCGGCTTCCCACGCGTCTTTCTCTTGCCCTTCGTTCCCGCCCCCATGTCCTCCTCAAGCTTGGGCCCTCGTTCCTCGTCCTTCTGTCGTTGTCCTGTGAATCGTGCCGCGTGAGCGAATCCCGTGTGGCTTGCAGAATATGTGTGTATATATATGTATATATATATATATATATATATATATATATATATATATATAACGGCGCCAGCACTACCATTATCCGGGCAAATTTGAAGCAACTCCTCTTGCCATTTGATGCAAATGGGCTGGGTACGTCACAGGGTAATTCCTGACACCTATATATATATGTACATATATATATATACACAACACTCCAGTGGCGCTTCGCGCCATGCACCTTGGTCCTTTGGTTGGCAGGCGGAATGGCAGGAAGGTCAGGCCGACAATTTAGCGATATCTCCTTGTTGCCTTTTCCGGCATTGCTGGTATCATAATGTTATTCGCTATCCTTCCTCCATGCTTCTTGTTCCTTATTCTCGCCATACCCTGCGCATTCTCCCCATCCTTCTCAGCTCTTTCTGCGGAAGCCCCTCCTTGGAGAGCCTCTAGGGGCCTCACACAAGTTTTTCAGGTTTTCTTAAGGCCTTCTGGAGGCCTCCTGGGCGTGTCCTGGGGGCCTCTGGGGACTTCCTCGGGCCACCCTGCCTCCAACCGCGGTCTCCCCGAAGGACCAGGTCACCATTTGGTATGCTTCGGAGGGGGTCTTGGGGCCATCTTGGGCCGCCATTGGGCTCTTTTAGGGCCATCTTGGACCCCTGTTGTGCCGTTTTGGGGCTCTCTTAGACTGCCTGGAAGCCCTTTCGGATGGTTGCGGGGCGATTTGGGAGCCCAGACGCCCACAAGACCGCCGTCTTGGAGCGTCGGGAACCCCCAAATCCACCAAAAACCTAGAAAAAGCATTGATGTTTGCCTCT